AGAATAATGTGTATTTTGAGAATAATGTGTATTTTAAGAATAATGTGTATTTTGAGAATAATGTGTATTTTGAGAATAATGTGTATTTTGAGAATAATGTGCACTTTTAAGTTTTCTTTTTCCTTTGTTTACTTTCATGCATCGCCTTTTATTGATAAAACTGATACAGATTATATATTTTCAATTTTGTCGGATTTTCTTTTGTTAACCTTAACAAGAGGGTGAACGTGTTGTTTTCCTGTATAAAGAATTACAACAAAAATATGCATATACGAAATTGAAGAAAAAGTACGTATAAATATTACTTTTAAAACCAACTCACGGATTTGTTTAACTCCAGATGCGTTAGGAAAAAAAACGTTGACAAACTCGTTCACTGAAGGCACACATACAATAACAAAAATCTATTTTTCTTCTTCAAATGATTACAACAATAATAATAACACTCTAATGTTTCAGCATACAGCAGCCGGAGCTGAGGGTGGAGGACAGGCCCTGTCTAGCTCCGGGTCCTGTCTGGAGGACTTCAGGGCTACTCCCTTCATAGAATGCAACGGAGCCCGGGGTACCTGCCATTATTTTGCAAATAAATTCTCCTTCTGGTTGGCAACTGTAGATTCAAATAATATGTTCTCCAGACCTGTCTCTCAGACATTAAAGGTAAACAATATTTTTGCTAAAACATTAAATTTTTCTCTCTATCCGACTGTCCATAGTCCTAGTAAAAACGAAATCATGACAACATTGTCATTTTTAGTTATCTTGCAACTGAAAGATCCTCCTGCGCCTAAAAAGGCAGATTCTTGCTGAACCCGAAGATCCTTTCCTAGCTGATGGTTTAGGTTCAAGAGATGTTTGGTTACTTATTAGAGAAGCCATATTTATCAATGCACGTTTAATAGCTGATATTTATTCTTGAGGCATATTAACAGATTTCCAGCCATAGAAACTAATTGTTGAGCTGAGGCTCCATCGTCTGCAGCAGCAGTAGCTGATGACTTGAATGATTGGAAAGTATAATCTGCAAGGTTTGGTTTACCAAGAGTTGTAGCAACCTCATGTGAAACCTCAGCTATCATGTTTTTTTCCAAGAGGCTGGTTTACAAAACCTGATCCTCTTCCTGGTCAGAATTGACACTTAATCAATTAGCAGAAGTTGAAAGCCATAATAACTTTCCTGTCCAAATAACACGGCCAGAGAATCTATTCAAATCCAGTTTAATTTGTTCCACATAGGTTTGGACAATAGCCGCCCAGTCAATTTCTGAACTTAAGTTAGGTTTAGGTATCTTTGTTTGGCACGTTCATGAACTACTTCTTGTCCAGATTTCTTTCCAGAACCAAGCTCATAACCTCAGTGTGGTGAAGTCCTCCGAAAATGGCGATAATAACCAAGGCTATCCGAACAAGCCAATATGGACCTGAGAGAGTGTCATTCCTGACAAATTCTTTTTTTTTGCTTTGGTAAAAATGGGTTCCTTCTTTTTCAAATCTACATCAAATACTTTGATAATAGATCTCTAAACTTACTCCAACCCTTTTCATAAAGATATCGAGATTTCATTTTGATGGTTTCTAAAGCCTTTAAGTCTCCAAAAATATTCATTTTTGAAGATCCAGTATGAACACGTTCAAGTACTAGAAACTTCTGAATTTGCGAATTTTTATAATTAAGTTATAATAAGAAAAAAGTTCTATTATAAAAATCAACATCTGGATTAATGTCACTCCTTAGCAAACGCTTCTCTGGATGAAAGCAACAATATAGTAAAAAATGTAGAGGGAATTAGCTCGAGCAAAGAAATAAAACCACCTATATACCTTTACCTGCTTATAGTTGAATAGGGACTGGAAAATAAAATATTTTGCTTCGCTTAGGTTGAAAAGAATATTTAAAAAGTCTCAAAAAGTCTCAAAAGTCTCGAAAAATAAAAAAAATCCTGACCGAAATTTATTATTTCCCGTCCCCCTTCAACTAGAAGGTATATAAATACATATTTTTAAAGCTTTCCTTCAAATATATTTTCTGTTTAGGCCGGAAACCAGAGAGCCAGAGTCTCTAGGTGTCAGGTTTGCAGGAGAACCGGATAGAACAGGTTAGAATCGGATAAAACAAGTTAAAACCAAATAGAAAAGGTTAGGACAGGCAAGAACCGGATAGAACAGATCAGAACAGGTTAGAACAGGTTAAAACAGGTTAGAACACGTTAAAACAGGATAAAATAAGTTAGAACAGAATAGAATAGGATAAATCATATTTGAACAGGTTAAAATAGACGAAAACATCAGGATAGAACAGGAAAAAACTGGATAGAACATGATAGAACATTGTAGAAAATGTTAGAACAGAAAATAACAGGCTATAACAGCTGGCAGTAAAAGATATAACAAGATAAACAGGATAGAACAAGATAGGACATAATGGATCAGGATAGAAAAGGTACTTTTTGAGGTAGGATGGCCCAAATCCAGCTTACGGGAGAGTTCTTACTTGTAGGTCACTAATCAGATGGCGGATGGTGCTATGGAAACACATTTTTTGGGTCTATTTCCGGTTTTAAAAAAAAAACTGAGAATTAAAAACTTTTTTTGAAAACCGGAAACGGACCCAAAAAATGAGGAAACGGACCCCAAAAAATGAGGAAACCGATCAACAAACTGAGAATTTGAAACTTTTTTGAAAACCGGAAATGGACCCAAAAAATAAGGAAACGGACCCCAAAAAAGAGGAAACCGATCAACAAACTGAAAATTTGAAACTTTTTTTGAAAACCGGAAATGGACAAATGGAAAAAGAGGAAACGGACCCGAAAAAAGAGGAAACTGATCAACAAACTGAGAATTTGAAACTTTTACTGAAAATCGGAAATGGACCCAAAATAAGAGGAAACGGACCCAAAAAAAGAGGAAATAGATCAACAAACTGAAAGTTTAAAACTTTTTCCGAAAACTGGAAACTGACCCAAAAAAAGAGGAAACGGACCAAAAAAACGGGAAACAAATCAAATGTGTATATATTGCTGAAACCGACCCAAAATATTCAGAAATCCCTCAACACTTTTTAGTTTTTGAGGAATTTCAGATAATTCTTGAAAAAAGAAGGAAACGGACCCAAACTCATTTTTGGGTCCGTTTCCGTGTGGAGGCGTTTCCATATCACCAGGGAATTTCACCATTAAATTTTTTTTAATGGGATTGGAAAATTCCTTTACAACACTTTTTATTAAAGAAACTTTTTGAATTCTAAATGTACCTTAAAATTTTAATAAAGGAAATTCTTGAAAATTTTGAAATTTACTTAATTAATTTTGAACTTTAAAATTTACTTAATTAAGTAAATTGCTTACAAGGGGGGGTATATTATGAATAAGGCAAATTTGATCTTTGTAAATCAATAAAACGAGAAATAAGTAAAAAGAGTAGGGTAGATGGAATGGAGTTTTATCGATAGGGAATAGGAATTGAAAAAAATATTTAGTTTTCATAACAAAGTGAAAAGTTTGAGGGTATGAAAATAAGAATGTGAAAAGTTTGAGGTATGAAAATAAGAAAGAGAAAAGTTTGAGGTATGAAAATAAGAAAGAGAAAAGTTTGAGGTGTGAAAATAAGAAAGAGAAAAATTTAATCTAGAATCATATGCACTTAGTGTAAAGGGAAGGAGAATGGGTAGGTAGGGGGGGGGGGATTATAACTGTAAATAAATCATATGTTTCATCTGCATATTTCAGATCTCTCTACTGAGTGTAAGCCAGGCTACTTTGATTTCTATGAACTAAATCAATACTGTGCTTAGTCAAAGAAAAACAATACGAAAGCGCTATTTAATCCCCAAACTAATCCAACCCTAGTCCTAATCCCAACCATTCAATTATTCATAAATCTAGAGCCTTCCGTGTCTGCAGAATACGAATGTTATAAAAAGTATGAATGTTGTGTGAATAAAACTATTTTTTCTCTACTATTTTTGGTTTTCAAATTTATCATTTAGTAAAATTTTCGTTTGAATATTGGAATTTAGTTAATATGAAATGACAGTTGTTTCTAACAAAGTTTTGCGATGTCTATTAAACTTTTAATGGATCATTTGGGGCATTTTCGGAGCTTTTTTGAAGAAACTTTTAAAAACTTCTCTTAACTAGTGGTGCTACATTTTTGGTCTAATCATGGGTCAATTTGTTTTTTTTAGTGTATGTGTAAAAATAAATGTCAGAAATTTTGTGATTTTAAAAATGCTTAAAATTTTTATATTGTAATTGTATAATTTACATTGGATGGATTAATCTTTGTATTTGCAGTGTGTTCCTATTTTAAAGGGACTGAAAACGTAATTTCAAACAAGGGATCTTCCATTAAAAGAGCTTGGCATAACTGATTTACAACGGTACCCTTGAAACCTATATGTGTTATAGTATCAATGAGGAAGATTTCATTTTTAGAAAAGTGTTTAAGTCTGTAAGCTTCCTTTAGTGCCTTTAAAGCATAAATGCGCAAGACACTTTTATTTATATAGAAACCAGAATTGAAAATAATCAATTTTCAGCTAGACAAATTAGAACATCTCTTTTCACACTTTCCAGCTTGATCAGGCAAATATCAAAATGGTACTGTAGTGAATCGGACATGCCACTTCTATACATGGAGGGTTTCTTGAGATTACATCTCCTGTCCCTTTAAATGTTTTGTATATATTTTATTAAATGTTTACTTTAAATTCTGCACACTATAAACAATTTACACGTGGAGAAATATAGCGGATTTTTTTAACAGGCTGTCAACTTGTAAATGCGCCAAATTTAGTTTTTAAAACTGCCACAGGGGGGAGATGATAAATAAAACTATATTTTATGAGTTGACACCCCGTATCATATGTTTTCCACTATACAGTCCTTGCCAGGCAACTATGTTATATATATTCTGTAAATATTTGTAGAAAATATTGTAAAAATATTGATTGAATGAAAAATGAGCTTTAAGTTTTAGTGATTATGATTTTATAATAAACAAATAAACAAAATTCTTTTATTATTATTTTAGATAAAGATTTGATTGCGCATGTTCAAAAGTACTATAACAATAAATACACTAATAATTTTTTAATTATTAAATTAATTATTTAAGCGTCTATCTATTTATCGATAGTGGGTTAGATATTGTGAAGACGATGTTGCAGGTAGGTGTAACTGTACAGTACGACAGTGATGCCGCGTTCATTTGCTAGTAATCAATCCTAGTAATAATAATAATAATAATAATAATGATAATGACAATAATTATAATAATAATAATTATAATAATAATGATAATAATAATAATAATAATAATAATAATTATAATAATAATGAAAATAATGATGATGATAATGAAGGTTTCCTGATAATCAAGGGACTGTGTTCTTGTCAGCATGAGGGATCTATGCTGCACTTTCAAGTCTCTATCCTCCCGCCGCACCTGAACAGTCTCTTAGATGTTAATTCAAAGTTCTTATTTTAAAGTGTGCCTCACTTTTGAACCATTGTCAAGATCCGAATGTAGGATTTTCGGACATGATCATTTTTTACTTAAACAGATTAAAATATTCATGCTGAAATTTATAACGAAAAATAGAACAAAAACTACAGTCATACAACACTTTACTGGTTATCACCGGATCTAGCTTTATAAAAAACATTTCTTGGACAATACCTGAAGGCTGATTAGATTGTTGTTCTGAGATCTGGATTCTGAGGTTTCATTTAAACTGTAATCTTTTTCATAGAGTACATCATCATCATCATCATCATCATCATCATCATCATCATCATAGACATCGTCTTGAATATCATTGTCCCCTTTATCAAAGAAAGTTATACTAAAGATTGTGTGCAACATTTTTTAACGAAAATTCACTAAACATATACTTCAGTTTCTATTTCAAATTTGATAATTTCCATTTGTAGGTTCTCTATAATATACAGTGGTCGGCGAATGTATCAAAACAGTTAAAACGACTTTTTGATTGTTTTGATTGTTAACAAGCTTTTCTTTCGAATTAAAAGTTTACAAGTACAGGGTGTCTCAACAAACACAGGGAATAAGGGTCTAAAGATTTTCAAGATTGAGGCCATTTTTAAAGTTTATTTCCTATTTCCGATTCAATAAGCCCAATTTTTTAGGCTTGTAGGTCTAAAAATAACAATTGTATAGGCTCCTAAAGTTTAAAACTGGAGTGAGTAAAGGAAATGAGTCTTTGCAAAAAAATCTTGTTTTCTAATTTGTATATCTTCTCAACCAAATGGCGTAGACCTTAAATATTTCAAACTATGAATTCTGTTAGATCAAATAGTCTAAGTTTGAAATATCAAAGGATCACGCTATCAGGTTGAAAAGATATAGAGGTTTGAAAATTTGAGTTTGTGGTAAAGACTCAATTCCTTTGGTAAAAATAAAGATAATCTCCGTTTGCACATAAGGATCTTTGCAGAATGCAGACTTGTTTGAATTTCAAGATTTAGACCATTTTTTATATCTACGTACAATTTCCGATTCAATGAGCCCAATTTAGACTTGTAGATCTCAAATAACAATAAACTGTAACCTAACATTGAACATAAAATTGCGCAAACGGAGATTTGCTTTAACTTTTTACTTCGCTCTAGTGTTTGAAACTTTAGAAGCCTATAAAATTCTTATTTTTAAATCTACAAGCGTAACATTAGAGTCATCAAATAGGACATTTTACGTAGAATTTTAAAATGGTCTCAATCTTGAATAATTGTCTCAATCTTGAAGATCCGATTGCATGCAAGTCTGTGTTATTTTTAGATTAAGAAGCCTAAAATTGGGCTTATTGAATTGGAAATTGTAAATAGAATTTGAAAATGGTCTCAATTTTAAAATCCGATAACAAACGAGTCTGTAGACCCTTATTCCCCGTTTTTTTAGACGCCCTGTAATTAAAGGGAAGCTTTTTTTATTGAAAGCTTCTTTTTGTTTACATGTTTGTGTGTATCCATGCTGTTTAAAAGTTTGATATAAATCAAAATTTAAACCGAAAGTCGTCTTCATTGTACTGAACTACTATATTTGTTCAGCTGAAAATTGACTTAATGTTATTTTTTCAAGATTCACACCGTATTTTTCATAATTTTTACTAACTTGAATATTAAAAAGGTGAATTTGGCAAATTGTATTTGATGCTGTTACAACGCAAATAGTTTTACTACACTCTAATTAAATCACTAGTTAAGTGACATGGTTCTGTTTAAAATGCTATATATATTGCTCTCATTGAACTTTATAAAGTTATAGTTTGATTCTAAAAGTGGTATTTCTATTTCAGAGCTTTCTGGTTATCACTGTACCTTTTACTCATTCGTGAATTACTCTTTGAATCATATTTTACCAAAATCAAAGCATACCCTGAATATCCCCGTGTGTGAAGTTCAGAGTGTAAATATCTCCAAGATATTTCGAATCTTTCTTATAATGGCGTCTTCTTGCTGGGGTAGGGGACATAATAGTGTCTGATTCGGATAAACTTTTGTCCACATTATTCTCAAACTCAAAACTCATTTCTTCATTCATCATCCAAGCGTTGTCATCCAACCTTTCTCCGAAATTCTCTTCCACATTTGTCTCTGTGGTTTCATTCAATATTCGTTCTCGATTTTCATCCAAACTGTTTTCTTGCATGTTATTCAAATTTTCCTCCAAATTTTCCTCCGAATTTTCCTTTGATTTTTCCTCAAAATTTTCCTCCGAATTTGCCATTGATATTTCCTTCAAGTTTTTCTTTGAGCTTTTCTTTGATCTTTTCTCCAAATTAACGACAAACCTTTCCTCCGCATCTTTATCCATTGTTAAGTCTATAAAATGTCATCCAAACTTTTATCCACAAAGATTGAGCTGTGTGAATATTTAAAACACTATGCAAATGCTTGAAACGTTGTGTGAATATTAAAACGTTATGTGAATATTTAAAACATTGTGTGAATATTTTAATCATTCTTTGCATTGCTTGAAATGTTGTGTAAATATCAGAAACGTTTTGTAAATATCCAAAGTGTTGTGAAAATATATGAAATGTTGTGTAAATATCAGAAACGTTGTTTGAAAAGTTGAAATGTTATGAGAACACTGGAAACATTGTGTGAATATCTGAAACTTTTTACAAAAACGTTAAAAAACTTAGAGCTGATGATTTTTTACTTATTTTTTCCCACCAGCGGAGCCGGAAATAAATTGAGCTTTAGCCACAAATCCTGAAACTTTGTACAAATATATAAATACAAAGGATTTGTAAATATCTGAAACTTTGTGTAAATACCAGAAACATTGTATAAATATCTTAAATGTTGTGAAAATATCAGAAAGATTGTGTAAATATCTGAAACGTTGCCTTGCGCAGATATCAGAAATGTTGGGCAAATACCAGAAACATTGTGTAAATATCTAATAATTTGTGTAAATATCAGAGACGTTGTGTGAATATCTGAGACGTTGTGTGAATATCTGAGACGTTGTGTAAATATCTGAAACCTTGTGTGAATATCAGAAACTTTGTGTAATTATCGGTAACGTTGTGTGAATATCATAAATATTGTGTGGATATCTTAAAGATTGTGTGAAAATCATAAACGTTGTTTAATTATTAGTAACGTTGTGTGAATATCATAGTGTGATTATCTGAAACATTGTGTGAATATCTTAAACATTGTGTAATTATCAGTAACGTTGTGTAAATATTATAAACATTGTGTGGATATCTGAAGCATTGTGTGAATATCAGAAACGTTGTGTAAATAACTGAAACATTGTGCAGGGAATATCAGAAACTTTGTGTAAATATCAGAAACGTTGTGTAAATAACTGAAACATTGTGTGAATATCAGAAAGGTTGTTTAATTATCAGTAACGTTGTGTGAATATCATAAATATTGTGTGGATGTCTGAAGTATTGTGTGAATATCAGAGAGGTTGTTTAATTATCGGTAACGTTGTGTGAACATCATAAATATTGTATGGATATCTGAAAGATTGTGTGAAAATCATAAACATTGTGTGAATATCAGAAACGTTGTGTAAATAACTGAAACATTAAACGAATATCAGAAACTTTGTGTAATTATCAGTAACGTTGTGTGAATATCTGAAACGTTGTGTAATTATCTGAAACGATGTGTAAATATCTTACACCTTGTGTGAATATCAGAAACTTTGTGTAATTATCAGTAACGTTGTATGAATATGATATACATTGTGTGGATATCTGAAACATCGTGTGAATATCTGAAACGTTGTGTGAATATCACAAACGTTGCGTAAATATCTGAAACGGTGTGTAAATATCTTAAACTTTGTGTGAATATCTGAACGTTGTGAGAATATCTGATACGTTGTGAAATATCAGAAACGTTGTGTAAATATATGAAACGTTGTGTGTGTGTGTGTGTATTCCAGTGTAGACTGTATCCAACACCTGATTACCTGAAATTCTCTTTCTTTTTAAAATTAACTCTTCCAAAATAACACTTGCTATATTCTATAAAAATTCAATACTATTTATAAAGTGTATATAACAGTTGTTCAACGCAACAAAATATCAAGTTAAATTAAATATTAGAAAATTAAAAGTATTTTCACAAAAGGTTGGCGCTTTTTCGTATAAGAAATTGAAATTACTTCAAACATTTCAGACAACAAGCCAAATATATGAATATTCGTAAAATATTAAAATTTCTGAAATTATTTTATTAGTCTGAGACTGACTAGGCTTCACAGTACACTGTCATGCACTACCGGTTCATATATATACCTTCGAATATACGTCATGCACTGGAGGCAGNATATATAACGAAACTGTCCTAGAGAAGAGTTATAGAGGGGAGGGGGCACGTAACATTTTTTTTATCGGAATATTTTCAGTCATATTTTGATCTCTCTCTCTCATTAAACATGCAGCAAACATGGCGTAAGAAACTTTTGATCTAAAGTATTAACAATATTTAGCCTTACAAAAATGTATCATATAGCAAATACGAAAAATCTACATTTAAGGGGTTAAAATGGGTTCCAAAGTTAAGACTCACTGAACTTTTAACCAGGACCTCGACTCTGGAGTTTATTGTGGAGAAAGAAACTGGAATAGTAGAACTGGGCATGGTTAGAAGGGGATTGGGAGTAGGGTTAAGTAGAGAAAAGGAGGAGTAGGGGTTAGAAGAGAAGGGGGAGTACAGTTAAGTAGAGAAAAGGGGGAGTAGGGGTTAGTAAAGAAGTGGGAGCAGAGTTAAGTAGATGAAGGGGGAGTAGGGTTTAGTAAAGAAGAGAGATAAGGGTTTAGAAGAGAAAGGGGAGTAGGGTTTAGTAAAGAAGAGGTATAAGGGTTTAGAAGAGAAGGGGGAGTAGGGTTTAGTAAAGAAGAGGGATAAGGGTTTAGAAGAGAAGGGGTAGTAGAGTTTAGGAGAGAAGAGGGATAAGGGTTTAGTAGAGAAGGGGTAGTAGTAAAGGAAGTAAAGGAAGTAAAGGAAGTAAAGGAAGTAAAGGAAGTAAAGGAAGTAAAGGAAGTAAAGGAAGTAAAGGAAGTAAAGAAAGTAAAGGAAACTGGAAAAAAATCTTCCGTTCAGTAATAAGTAGTCTACAGTAGAAGTTTTGTTGCATGTTTCTTTGTAATTTTTAAATAATTTTTATAAAACCGATTCTCAAAATCATCCCTCCAAAATGGTCAATCAATAAGGATTTTAAATATTGACTTTTGCGCCCTTGCTGAACAAATATGCACCTTAAAAACGTCTGATAGGTCTCAAATGAATCCTATAAAACTTCTCAATAATACTGCAATCTTAGTTTATAACTGCCATACATTGCCGGTCACTCCCTTTAAGGGACACTTGTGAAAAGGGGAAATCGTTCTGAAAAATTTTTGCATTTATTTGCATTTCGTTTGCTTGAGAAAAATGCGAAAATGTTCGCTTTTTTCGCGAAATTTAATTTTAATCTGTTTCGCAAAAAAATGCAAAAATTCGGCAAAAATGCTAAAATCTAGCGAAAAAATAAATGCAAACATTTTGGGGAGAAAAAATTGCGAAAATTTTGCGAAAAAAATACGGAAGAGAAATTATTGATTATGATTATGATTATGAATAATACAACTCGTAATGCTGTGCTCTCGGAGCAGATAATTCCAAAAGATTTTTTGCGCAATTAATTGTCGCAGTACCATTACTAATGTTTTTCGCATTTTTCGCTTGATTTAATTTGCTCTTTTCACAACTGGGTTTCCAGCGAACGAAAATTTTCGCGAAAGAATGCGAAATTTCGCGAAAAGGTTTGCAAAATACGAACGAAGTTTTCGCATTTTTTCGCAAAAGTTTTCGTTCGCTGGAATACCTAGTTTTGAATCGAGAAAATTGCCATCTTTGCATAAGGGATGTAATCGAATGTGAGGGACTTAATTAATTGCGCTTACTGTACCTCTAAATGCTTAAGTCTCAATTAATCAATTGTAGATTATGTAGAATAAGTGTTAGGGGATGGAGTGGTGCTGACACCCCCCCCCGTTACGAGTCTGTTTTGATTTTCGGAGTTTTAGGTCGTCATTGAAGTCTCATACATTTTGATTATTGAAGAATTATGGGAAGACGATCTGAATGACTGCGTAGACAAACATATTTTGTTGCGGCATTTTTCACATCTCTCTCTCTCTCTCTCGCTTCCAATCTCATACTCACCGCGTAGAAATTAAAATGATGAAAACCTTACTGACACGCTTGATTCCGATTCTTTCCGTTATTAATCGTTTGCTATGAAATTACCTTGAAATGGTTGATTTATCTTCAGTTATACTTAACGCAGGTTTTTTTAGTAATGTTAGGTTATGATATATTTCATATTAACCAATAACCTTGAAAATTATTATTTCATATTTTTATTTTACTAGAACTATTGTACGTGATTTCATGAGCCGGGTACTACCATCCAATTAAGTTGCCAGTAATACATAAATTGAATTACAAATTTCAGAATTTGACATCGACATGAGTCTTCATTGGACCTTGATTGCCGGGTTTTTGTACGCAGAGATTGCGTTTATCGCTCTTCTTCTTCTGCCATTTATCTCTAATAAAACATGGCACAAGGTAAAATATTCTTGTGTATGCCATGAACATTTTGTTGGAGGGGGGGGGGGG